CGTCAGACCCGCTCAATTTCCAATTCTAAATCCCAGCCAATCTCATCCCAATGGCCCAGTTATTCGGTGCTGTCCCCGATCTACACGTACAACGGGACACGGCTCACCGGACATGGGGGCGAATCGCCAATGTTTTTCAATGCCATTTCCCCCATGGCCTACTGGCAAACCTCAGATTTGTTTTTTTGCGGAGTCGCCTGTATAGGGGCCTGCTTAAATTTTCTGGCTCCCTTTTGTCCACGGTTCCACCCTGTATCCCACATGGTACTGTGTTCACAGAATACCCGGCTGCGTCTCCGGTGGTGGATCCAACCGGACAATATCAGCCAGGGTTTTTCCCGCCCTTTCGGCCCACCATGACGATCACAACAGATTCATCTCTGTTTGGTTGGGGCACGTTGATAGAATCTCACCAAATGGCGGGTCTCTGGACTTACCATCAGCCACCTGCCACAACAATTTTCTCAAATGGTAGTGGTCTTTATCACCCTTCATCGCTTTTAGAGCATAGTGCAGGGTCAATCTGTTGTCTCGGACACACTCCAAGACTTCCTCCAGTACCTCAACCAGCAACACACCAGCATCAGCTTCACCATGGAACAAGAACAAGACGGCACCATACCTTTCCTGGACGTCAAGATCTCCAGGAATCCGGATGGCACCCTGGGACATAGCGTCTACAGGAAACCAACCCACACCAACCGCTATCTCCACCAGCGGTCGTTCCATCATGCCAGCATCAAGTCATCGGTCAACCGCACCCTAGTACAGAGAGCCTTTGATGTCTGCGACCAAGACAATCTCAAGCGTGAACTCAAGCACATCCAGGCGTCACTACAACAGAACGGCTACAAACCCAACTGCATCAAGATCAGCAAACCTGACCAATGGGTCTCCTCTACCCAAGGTCCTCCCACTGTATCTCCCTCAGTCACTCTTCCTTACATAGGTCCAGCTTCTCATCATCTCCAACGCATCCTCCAACAAGCCGGCGTCAAGGTGTACCACTCATCTGGCAACAAGCTCCAAGGCAGCCTCCACACTCACAAGGACAAGCAGGACTCCTCTTCCAAGCCAGGTCTACCGCATTCCATGTGAATGTGGCAAAGTCTACATCGGCGAAACCGGTCGGAACCTTCCCACTAGGCTCAAGGAACACAGAGCACATGGACGGCGAGGGGATTTTGACAAATCGGCCATTGTCAAACATTCCCACATCAACAACAACAAAGTTGATTGGGATGCGGCCGAACTCATCGCACCGATCCAGTTCTGGCATCCAAGACGCATACGGGAAGCCATCGAGATCCGCAAGCACAACACAGTTCCGCAAGACATCGGGTTTCACCCTCAACGACATCTGGCTCCCACTCCTCCAGACTGATGGGTCTCCTATACCCTAGGTTCTCAGCTACCACCTTAGACTGATGGGTCTCCTATACCCTAGGTTCTCACTCCACTGAGACTGCAACCCTACTGTTCCACTTCCCTTGCAGCCTACCTTACACATCGTACACTCTCATGTCGTACGCGAACCCACCTACCTAAAATGGTGCTACTCTGCATATGTAGTAATACTAAGTAGAACGCAGTAGAATCCCCCCCCCCCCCACCCACAGAAGTGTGGGCCGATTCTACTAGCGAATACTTACCCGTAGAGTGCCCACCTGCCTCCCCATTCTCACGTATGCGTTCATTCACGCACCTTACGCTCGAGAAGAGAGGAAGTATGGCGGGCGGGCCGCAAGGTACTGTGGGTAATAAAACTTAGCGTATGGCTGGCACCCTCTAGAGAATAATGCATAATATGTAGTAATACTCTATGGGTAAGTATTCGCTAGTAGAATCGGCCAAAAATTCAGGGGGGGGGGGAATTTTATGAATAATATGCGAATAAGCATCCGCCATTATCTGAAATTTAACTTATACAGCTCCACAGACTTTGTCACATTGTATAAAATGAGGTAATCAAACCCATGTTTTGAGGGTCAACGAATTAAATGAATCCATTCATACAATGATAATGATGTTGTTTATTAAATGCATTATATGCAAATTAGCATCTGTCATCCGTCATTAGAAATATAATTTGTATAGTATCTCCTATATCTAATATATCTATAATATCAAATGAGGTTCTGCACCAGACCCATATTTGCAGTGTCACTAATGTACATGTACGTACGAAAGCTCGACCATGCCAGATTAAAAACAGTAAAAAACAACAGTGTACAGTTGGGCCCTGCTTAAAAGAAATGCATTGACACTTTTTGCAGGGGGGGGGGGGTCCAGTGAATTTAAATTATGGGATATTTTTCCATAGCTCCAGTATGAAATAATGTATGTGCCCTCTGTTTTAATACACAATAGACGCGCACTGACAGAAGGGAATTTAAATTATTCTCCCGCAAAGGCTGCATAATGAGGAGTTTAATAAAATTGAAGAACACCAATATCTTGGGCAATAGAGCTCTCGCCTGGTTCCTGCTCGAACCACTAGACCAGGCTACTGCTCTTTAACCGCATCCTTGAAAACAGTTTCCTCCTGACAGCAGCCATAGTGCAGCGCATGAGTGAACTCCACAATCATAGATCAAGGACATTTGCATTGGGAGCTCGGTGGGCTCTGCCTGACCTCCCATCACTCTTTCTTCATGAAGTGCCAGTCAGCGATGTTCTCCCGCCTGACATCTTCGTTCCTGACTGATGATCTTGTCCTCTGTCCCACAGAACAAGATCTTGTGTCCTATCCGGATCCTCCAGTGGTACTTCCATTGGACTGCACTGATCTGCGGTGCCCACTAGGCTCTGTTCATTGCCACGTTTCACCACATTGGCCAGCATCCTGCAATACTATCGCTTGCTGGGTTATGATAGCCATACGACTCACGCTCCCTTGCAGCCCACCTTACACATCGTACACTCTCATGTCGTACGCGAACCCACCTACCTAAAACGGTGCTACTCTGCATATGTAGTAATACTAAGTAGAGCGCAGTAGAATCCCCCACCCCCACAGAAGTGTGGGCCGATTCTACTAGCGAATACTTACCCGTAGAGTGCCCACCTGCCTCCCCATTCTCACGTATGCGTTCATTCACGCACCTTACGCTCGAGAAGAGAGGAAGTATGGCGGGCAGGCCGCAAGGTACTGTGGGTAATAAAACTTAGCGAAGGGCTGGCACCCTCTAGAGAATAATGCATAATATGTAGTAATACTCTACGGGTAAGTATTCGCTAGTAGAATTGGCCAAAAATTCAGGGGGGGGGGGAATTTTATGAATAATATGCGAATAAGCATCCGCCATTATCTGAAATTTAACTTATACAGCTCCACAGACTTTGTCACATTGTATAAAATGAGGTAATCAAACCCATGTTTTGAGGGTCAACGAATTAAATGAATACATTCATACAATGATAATGATGTTGTTTAATGCATTATATGCAAATTAGCATCTGTCATCCGTCATTAGAAATATAATTTGTATAGTATCTAATATATCTATAATATCAAATGAGGTCTGCACCAGACCCATATTTGCAGTGTCACTAATGTACATGTACGTACGAAAGCTCGACCATGCCAGATTAAAAACAGTAAAAAACAACAGTGTACAGTTGGGCCCTGCTTAAAAGAAATGCATTGACACTTTTTGCAGTGGGAGGGGGGGGGGTTCCAGTAAATTTAAATTATGGGATATTTTTCCATAGCTCCAGTATGAAATAATGTATGTGCCCTCTGTTTTAATGCACAACAGACGCGCACTGACAGAAGGGAATTTAAATGATTCTCCCGCAAAGGCTGCATAATGAGGAGTTTAATAAAATTGAAGAACACCAATTTCTTGGACAATAGAATACATGTGCTTAATCACTTCTGATTAAAAAATGGTTTCGCACACTGCATTGTAACCAAGGGGGCCTTGTACTGATTAGCGTTTTGGGGTATAATTAGACATCCACCCTGAAAAATAATAAATTACATGTCAAACATTTCCTACTTCTATAGGTTTTCCAGGCCATTTTCAATTACCACCCTGAATTAAAAGTACATAGATATAATAATCATTTTTGATAATAGCGAGTGCTAATTTGCAAAATGTGCATAAAATAGGCCCTATATAAATTAGTCATTGAAAATTGCTTTAATGAGTTTGTTTACCCCAAAACGTGGTCGGGGCACCTCAATTGATACGTTTGGACAAAATCCTGTAGAGAATGTACATATAGAAAACATATATTTTTTGTATGGCGGAAGCGTACCTGTATACCATATTAGGACTACTTTTTTTTTTATATGCTCAAGGGTGCCAAAGTGGCAACCGTTGGAATATTCATCTGCAAGGTCCAAATAACAAGAAAATGCAAAAACATTTTGTGCGGACCCTTATTCACGCTTCCGTGGTCAACTTTAGGATTATAAAGCGCCCTTCAAGGAACACATCGCTTTACAAGGCAATATATACATGTATTTAATAAATTACACAATGCACCATGAAACTCAATATACAGAACTTCAGTAACAAAACGAAGTTCGAAGCAATACAAGAAAAAAAGACAAACAGGTGTGTTTTTAGAAGACCCTTGAAAATGCCCAAGGTTTTGGCCTTACTGATGTTGATGGGCAAACAGTTCCAAAGGCGTGGTCCAGCAGCTTGAAATGCTTTGTCACCGGTACGAATTCTGGTTTTAGGCAAAGTTAGAAGAGTTGAGTCTAGCGAAGAGCGAGTGGCATAATAAGGTTTGTGAAATAAAATTAGGTTTTGGAGATACTCCGGGGCTTATGAATGAATGCATTTGTAGACGATGACAAGTATTTTGAATTCAACACGCTTACGGATCAGCAGCCAATGAAGACAACGTAACAAGGGGGCACTGGATGTATCACAACATTAAGTTGATGTTTGTTCCAAATTTGTAGTTAATCGAATGAACCCTTAACAAGAAAAGCTTACTAGTGTAGCAGTGACACATTTGTTATCTTATTTAATGTTCAGATTCTGCAGAGAAGTCTTTGGTGCGGTACATCAACAAAGTGATGATCAAGAAGATATCAGGCAAAGAAGAGCTGCGAGATATCACAACCCTGAATTTGATTCTAACAACAAAGGACAATGGAAAGAAAATACGGGTATCTTTTTTTTGTCTTAAATCTTAATGGCATATAGCATCAATTGCAAAAGCTAAAAAAAAAAAAGGAAACAGTTAAATATTTACCGTAATTTTCGGATTTCGGATTTTGTTTACTGCGGCTTATACACAGGGAAGCTTATACGCCGAGCCTTGAAGAATAAAAATGAGATTTAAATGTGTATTTAATGTACTGGTACATGTATAAGAAAAGATATGTTGCTGAAATAAATTATCAATCGTTACTGGACTTGAGGTACTGGAAGGTCATTATCAACAATGGAAGCACGTCCCACAAAAAGGTACTGAGCGGTACATGTATCAAAATTGCGGCCGTGCGTGAGTGAAAGCTGTCTTCGTTGCTGACCATACAGTCACATTGATGTGCCGCTATTTGCACCATGCACTCTTGTGGACCACACTATTTGTTGTAATAAAGGGGTGTACTTTCTTGGGAACAATAATTACAAATATTTCCGCTGTTTCCCAAAAAAAAGACAACTAATACTTTTTTTGGTGTCTGAAACGTTTCTTTATTCGACAAGCAGTTGTTCAAACATCACAATACAATTTTTTCTGGAAATTTGTAATCAAGAAACAATGTAAAACATTTTTTTTTAACGAGCATCTACCGTAAATGTTTTGATATATAACTTTTGTGGCCCTTTTTATAGCTTTCGTAGTGTAAATGGAACCGGTCCAGAGCTTTTTGACTTTAGAATTTGGAGACCTTACAAAATTGAAACCACTGCGGCCGGTGCAGCTTATACGCCGGTGCGGCTAATACGCCGATGTCAAATTTTAATTTGACACTAGCTACATTGATACTAGCTACATTGATATACAGTCCGATGACAGATTACCTGAAAAGTAGATATATAACAATGCTTTCCAAGCAATCGCATAGAATTTACGGACAACTGTTGTTGCAACCCTCAATTAAGCAACAATGTTTTTAGTGTAACAATCAAATCATTTGTCTTTCAGGAAGGCCATAATGTTCATCTCATATATGCCCCTTTCAGCTTGAAACAAGTCTAGCAACAATTTTTTTTTATAAAAACAAATTTAGAAATCAATCCATGTCATGTATATTTTGAGATCATCAAAAAAATGTCCTTTAATCTCATAAGTTACTGTTTGTATAATATATTTTTCATTTTTGATAAAATACGGAACATTACCCATTGATAATGTTTATTTTGATGATAATGCCTCATTAATCTTCAGATTGGTATTTATCATATGCGGATTCAGCATCACCAAATTATGTAACATAGTTATGTTACAAACTGATATTTAAAAAAAAATGCAACTTCTTGTCTTCAAGGGGCCCTTCTTTATCTGGCTTGGACTGAAAGGTATGGATTCTATTCTCCTATTCATAATATTTTCCCATCTGTTCCATTCACTTTTTTCCAGTACATTGAAAATCTTGAGGGTCTTACAAATCTCCAAGTCCTGATGATCAACCACAACCAGATCAGCAAGATAGAAAACCTCCATCACCTAATGCGACTCAGGGAACTAAACATCAGCTGCAATAGGATCAACAAGGTGGAAGGTCTGGAGACCTTAACACACCTGCAAACCTTAAACCTGTCTCACAATCTTATTGAGACAATTCCAGCCTGGCTAGCCAAGAAACTCACTGCACTGAGAGCATTCCACATTGCTGGGAATCTGCTTTACTCTGTTAGTTTACTTCATTTACAACTTGACATCTTTTCATCTTTTACAAATCAACTCTACCCTAACCACTAATTCAAAGATTTCAGCATATGGAATAATAATAATGATAAATATTATCATTACGGTAAATGGGTCATTTGGGAGACATTCCCATAGACTTGTGCACAAAATTTTTCAAACTTCAATGTGCCCTAACCCAATATTCCCTTCTCCTTTTTCCACGAATTTCGGTACGTTTACTGATTAGACCACAAGCAACAAATATAACCTAATTGCCACAATAAAATTTTGCCTCTAAAGGGGGACTGTGTGCGAAGAAACTACAATAACGTGTCTCCTTAAAACTAATAATCATGCATATTTTGTAAGCGTATATATCCACCAACATTGGTACTACATGTACAGTATTACCCCTGTTCACCAAGCCACTAAATCATTCAGCTATTTAGGGAGTATACATGTGCAGCTTGATTCTGCCAATGTTGTAACAAAAAAAGCAGCTACCAAAACCATCAATCACAGTGTTAACCATCTCAGCCCTCACAGCTAACCCAATTTGTGGACCTGTGAACAAAAGAGATCTACAGGGTGTTGGAGGTTTGAACGTTTTGTGGACTTACCACGTCCACCCAACGTTTTGCCCTCTCTGAAAACAGTTTTAGAGGCATTTTGGGTTAGGGTTATCTGTCGCAAAATGAAGAGGAACAGTCTAGGAAATCTGTATCGAAAATTCAAGTTGAAAAAGTGTTCACAGTGCAACTAAAAGTACTTTTTTGGCTGTTTCGGCAACCAGCCGAAACAGCCTTTGTTTTCGTTTAGATTTTTTTTGGGGGGGGGCTGTTTCGGCATTTTGCCGAAACAGCCTTTGTTTTTGTTAAGATTTTTTCTTTTTTTGTTCTTTTTCAGTCATTTTGCCCATAGCATTTGTACACGTTTTTTTGTTACCGGCGCTAAGGGCACTAAAATTAATCCGATTGCCTTTATACTCAGCACACATTTAGACCAGCAGCTGAAGTTGTGTGCCGAATATTGACTTCATCGTGCCGTCATCATGAGTCACGTGACGTCACATTATATGCGAGTTTTCTGTTGTGACCATTTTCTAGCAGAATTCGGCTAGATCTGACAGATTGGGCTATATCTCCAGAACTACAGGTCCGATTGGGTTGAAAGTTGGTATGTACCTAGACCGGGATGTCTTATAGATGAAAATTAACTTGACGCCGTGATGACGTCATCACGTGACGTCATATAAAATAAACATATTTTGAAGGCCTATATCTCCTGAACTACAGGTCCGATGGAGTTGAAAGTTGGTATGTACCTAGACCGGGATGTGTTATAGATGAAAATTAAAGTGACGTCATGATGACGTCATCACATGACATATGACATCATCGTAAAAATACATATTTTGAAGGCCGGTATTACAAGAACTACAGGTCCGATTGGGTTCAAATTTGGAATATACCTAGACTGGGATATCTTATAAATAAATAAAAAATGATGTCATGATGACGTCATCACGTGACATATGATGTCATAGTCAATAAACATATTTTAAAGGCATATATCTCCTGAACTACATGACTGATTGGTTAAAAGTTGGTTTGTACCTAGACCAGGATGCGTTATAGATGAACGTTGTAGTGGCGTCATGATGACGTCATCACGTGACATATGACGTCATAGTAAAGTTGCATATTTTGGAGGCTAAATACCTATGATTGGAAAAATGGTTTCGCAAAATTGTGCACAATTTCTGTTGATATGACTACATGCGACAAGTTCCATTCAGTTGACAAATATAGATTCTACCTAAACCTCAATATGATATCGATCACAATATCAGCCGTGTCATGATGACGTCATCAGATAAGAATAGACATTCAATCCAATCTGCATTTTTAAGCATATGTCTTTGTACCATTTGTCCTCATGATTTTGCAACTTTCGACTTCATCTATTATCTCCCGTAGTCTATAACATGACATAAAAAACACAATAGCGAAACAGCCATATGTTTGTCAACAAACATACATCTAGTTTCTTTTTGGCTTTTTCGCAATTCAGCGAAAAAGCCTTTGTTTCTGTTCTGATTTTTTTTTCTCCCTACTTTCTTCTTTTTGTTCCATGCAAAATCCCATAGACATTTTTTACACGATTTTTGTACACGCCACTTTTGGCATTGAACTTTGTCATACATCATTCAAATTAAGCATATGCATTGTCCTTATGGCAAAGTTGTGTCCCAAAGAGTGACGTCATGATTACGTCATCAGGGGTCACGTGACGTCATCACAAACTTGCATATTTTGAAGTCCTATATCTACAGAACAGTATGGCCGATTGGGTTGAAACTTGGTATGTGGGTAGACAGGGATGTGTTATAGATAAAAAATCAGGTGACGTCATAATGACGTCATCATGCGATTTTATATGAATTTTTTTAATTTTTGGACCTTTTAGCCATATCTCACAAACGCAACATGCTAAATTCAAAATTCTGTTTGTATTATGTTTGTTAGGTTGTAGGTTTATGCACACAATTTTGAAAAATGTGTGACGTCATCATGACGTCATCAAAAATTCGAATTTTTTAAAACACATATAAGGGAAGGTACGATCGTCATGAAACTTTGTGGATAGCTATATAATGGTACCAGTATGCACAATCCGAAATGACGTCACCGTGACGTCATCGGTAGATTTTGTATGATTTTTTTTAAATTAAGAATTTCATTTTGCTTCCAAAATTTTACAATTCCTTTCATCGGATTGACTTCAAACTTGGTACAAACCAAGACCACAATGACAAAATGTGCATTGACACGGGTTGTCAAGATGACGTCATTGCAGGGCATGTGGCGTCATGTGATACAATTATATTTTAGGAATTATTCTAAGCATTTTGAACAACATTTAACTGCATGAAGCACTCTAAAAAGTAAATGCAAAATGACCAACAAAACATAAACATTTGTTAACTGCGAAAAAGCCCTGTGTTCTGTTTTTAAACCAACATATAGCTCTAGTTTTTTTTTATTTTCAGTCATTTTGCCCATATCATTTGTACATGATTTTTTTGTTACCGGCACTTTGGGAACTGAAATCAATTCGATTGACTTTATACTTGCATACACTTAGACCAGCAGCTGAAGTTATGTACCGAAGATTGACATCATCGTGACATCATCATGAATCACGTGACGTCACATTATATGCGATTTTTCTGTTGTGACCATTTTCTAGCAGAATTCGGCTAGATCTGACAGATTGGTCTATATCTCCAGAACTACAGGTCCGATTGGGATGAAAGTAAAAATGTACTTAGACTGAGATGTGTTACAGATGAAAATTTAAGTGACGTCACGATGACTTCATTACGTGACATGTGAATCGTATTAAAAATTGCATAATTTGAAGGCCAATATCTACAGAACTACAGGTCTGATTGGGTTGAAACTTGGTACGTACCTAGACCGGGATGACAATTAAAGTGACGTCAGGATGACGTCATCACGTGACATGTGACGTCATATTAAAAGTGCATATTTGAAGGCCTATATCTACAGAACTGTATTGGTCCTGATCACTCTACCGCACATGTTGTCCTATCAGCCTTACATGACATAAAAATACAATAACAAACTATTTTCTTTTCTGATGTGACGTCATCACGTGACATGGGACGTCATAATTCAAAGCCCTATGAGAATGTTATTTAATATATACATAACTACACATCCTTCCTGGATGGAACTTATACTTGAAACTATGTCACATATATGTCTCAAAAAAGTTACCGAAACAGCCCTGTGTTTGTCCACAAACATAAATCTACTTCTCTGTTGTTTTCTACACGAATACAAAGGAATATCCACAGTAGGCATGTGTGTGCATGAGTTTGTTTCTGCATTCAGTAGGGGACGTTGAACAAAAGAGGACAATAGGGTACCCAATTCCTGAAGGTCCCCAATTTGGCGATGTGTACAAAACATATGGGAGGTCTTCTTAAAAAGTACAACCAAAAGAGGGACAAAAGTGGGTCCCCGATTGTAGGCAAATACACACTTGTATGCGTGCGAGGATGGGTGGCCATCACCGCGTTATGGGGAATTTGATTATTATTGGGCAAATTAGGACCGAGTTGTGTGGACTTTCTGTTGTCCCCACAGTGTCTTTGGTCCCCATAGTACCATGGGACAACTTGTGTGTGGTTTCTACAGTTACGGAACAAACATGCGTGCTCTTACATATTGGCACTTATGGGGTACCGGGAACAAAGGGCAACAATAGGGACAATGGTACCACACAAGTCTGTCTTTAGAAATTGAAGTACCCAATAGCTATGTGTTTTGAGATTTCTAAGGGGACAAAGGAGAACAAAAGAAAGGGATTAGGGTCGAACAATAGTGGTACCCCATAAACCCCAAATGCTAAGTGCAACTCTGTCTGTATGAGTTTGTTTCTGCATTCAGTAGGGGACGTTGAACAATACAGAACAATAGCGTCCCCAAGTCCCGAGTACAAACAAATGAAGGACAATAGGGGGTCCCTGATTGCAGGCGAATACAACAAATGAAGGACAATAGGGGGTCCCTGATTGCAGGCGAATACAACAAATGAAGGTCAATAGGGGGTCCCTGATTGCAGGCGAATACACACTTGTGCGTGCCCATATTTATGTTACATACCTAGTGTGGACATTGCTTTGTTTTCCTGTCTTTAACAAAATCATTTTACTCAGACTGTGAGAACTCTTTCATCCCAAATTTGTTTGTATGATTCCCTTGAGTGTTTCTCTTCATTTTGCGACAAATAAACCTAACCCAAAATGCTTCTAAACATGTTTTCCAGAGAGGGGAATGTCGTAAGGATATTGGCAAGTCCGCACAATTTATCAGAAAACTGGTTTATGTGGACATTTTTTGTTCAGAAATTCACATTAAATGTAATGCTTGTACACTAATCTTTGTAAACACCTGCTATCATGGACCCCTATTGTCCCTAATCCTCATTCCTTTGTTGGTACTTAATCTTGTTAGCAACAGCTCTCATTGGTTTTGTACACGAATTTCAATTGGTCAGTCATGGACGTATTGTTTGGTTTGAATACCAAAGGTTTGAATAAATGAACACGCCCACACACACGTGAGTAGGTTTATGGTATAAATTAAGGACACACACGTGCAACAGGAACCAAATCAAGGACGACCTCAATTAGAAAATGTGTACAAAAAATAATGAGAGCTGTTGCAAAAAAAGTAAGAATTATAAAAAAGGAAAAGGGAAGAGGAACAATAGAAAATCTTTGATTTACATTATAAACAAACGTATGTGGTTGCGTGAGTTGCTCAAAGCGGGTGCAACCCACAAAGCAGTGAGGCAAAGCCTTGTCTTCATAATCTGATACCCGTGGGGTATTTTATTTCCTTTAATATAGTTTATCTTATCCCACCCATATCCTTCAAAATCCATTTGGAAGATATAGTCCGATCAATTTAAGTTAAGACCTAGAACAAATTGCAATAGAAACCATTCAAGCATCAAACAACTTCAAATAAATACACAAACAACATGTGAAAAATCTAATTGTTTCTATGGAGTGGAAGGGTGTTTTTTTCAAGCATTTTTGTTTTTAGATAAAAATTTGGAACGTGGAACAGCATGGGCTGTTCTGAAAGTAGAACCGAAAAATCTTAAGTTAAACTATTGATTCAGCGCCTGAAAATGATGTTTGATTTGGTTAAGAAAGTTCAGGAAATACTGGGCTCAGGTAGTGATGCTTACAGTACATTTTTTAGTACATGAAAATATGAAACAAAACCTCTCAAAACACTTGTCTATAAGGTTGATGAGAAACAGGTGTAGTTCTGTACATGAGATTTCCATGCAGGTCACACATTCTCCATACGGTAGGGTACAGTGATGTAACTTTAAACAGCTTAAAGGGAATATACAACATTTGCAAACATCGAAAAATAAAACTACCAAGTTTTTGCGAAATACCTTAATAGGATGTTGGTAAATGACAGTCTAAAGCATCCTGTACAATTATGGCACCTGGTATACTGTCATTTTCAAGAAAAGTGGTATTTTTGTATCAATTTCCAACGCTGATCGGCCGATCAGCGTTGGAAACAACTGGCTTTGTTTTCAAATACTGGCCCCAATTGACCATTGCACTTGTTTGCAATCGATTACAAACCTATGAACGGGTACGAACCAGCTAGACTGGTTCCCTGACCTTACAATTCCCCAATATATGTAAACTGCTCTGTTTCTTCTTATATGGAGTCAGGGAACCAGACTACAGGAAAATGATCGTTTTTCTTGGTTTTTATAGCATTTTCGAACCTAAAACCTCCAAAAAGTCAGTGTAACTATATTTGCTTTATATTTCCAACCCCCAAATTCCATCCATTTCTGAAAATTACAGCAAAAGCAAATGATGTATATTCCCTTTAATGGAGAAGATCCTGATCAAAATAGGACAAATGATTTAGACGTCTACTTGTACTGTCGAGAGTGAAATGCACTTCTCTAGAAAAGCAAACTTGAGTCCCAACAAAACAATTTTTTATGGATCAGTTCTCGCATTATTATTACTTTAAAAAGAAAAGATTGGCATGGTCCACCCCCCCCCCTCCTCCGGCCTAAGGCTTTGATCCGGGTGCTCGGTTCAATTTTCACTTCACTTCATTTATCCTGTTACTTTGTCTTTATTAAGGTTTTTTTTTAGTATATATTCTTTTTTTGGAGAATTCATATGTTATTTATAAGTTATGCCATTGACCTAAATTCATCACAAAAGGGACACACAAATCTCAGATTTAAGATATTTTCCATAATATGTAAAATTGGACTCTGGCCTGTTGGCGTAGACACCTGTAATTTAATTTTAATGGATCTTTTTGTCATTTCCTGCCCATGTTTGAAGTAGACCTGTTTATGCAAATATTTTACCTGAAACAAATAGTTAATTGAGAACAAAGTGATTTATTTTAACCAATTAATAATTCAGGCAGTAAACAAAATCTCAATTTTTTATATTTTTTTCAAATAAATACGGTGTTGCAGGCGGCAGTGTAAATTATTTTACATTTTAATAATTGGTGGACATGGAAAAATCGTCTGCTGTTATCAGTTGTGTCACACGAAGTCTCATACGTGATGTGAATGGATTTTCTGATGGTAAACAGACGGAAAAGAAAACGTGACGCTCCCCATACTGTTTATGTATGATGAAAGAGTAGTAGTGAAAAAATGAATAAAAACACTTTTCCACTCCTTTGATGAAATTAGATTTTTAGTATTTTGGATAGTGATAAATTGTATTTCCTTAGCGCGATGGCATTAAAATAAATCCTGTTGCAATTTGTTCTAGGTCAGTTCCTGTGTTGTTCTAAAAAGAGCGGTATAATATGGAGGATTTCAGAATTTCAGAAGATACAGCCAAGCCACTTTTCTTTGACGAAGTCTGAAGAATTTATGTCAATATATCCACAGCAGTATATTTTGAGGGATTCAGAGAAGCTACACAAAATGGTTGCCAATGGAGGTCAAACTATAGATATAACGTGATTTATTGATGTGTGCCTCTGATATTATGTAAGAAAGCTAGTACGGTCTAGATGACAAAATTCCATCCCCAAAAGTCACAAAATGTTTTTCTGCATTCTATCTACAGTTGTCTGATGTATTTAGACTGCGTCCACTCAAGGATCTGATGCAGCTTTCGATAGCTGACAATCCATTATGTGACCTTCCACACCACAGGCTGTTTGCTGCGTTTCACCTTCGGACACTGCAGGTTCTAGACAAGCAGACAATCACAGAGAGTGAGAGAAAGCAGGCAGATGACAGGTTCGAGCAAGGTAAGAACAAACAAATTGTAAAGATTATCAGTTCTAGCAACCGTACGTTTTCCAAAATTCAATTCCATGTAATGCAGAATTGGATGCAGGACATGTGGGTTGAGGTCCTAGTTTTGTTTCGTATGAAAAAGTGTTGTTAGTTTTACTGAACAGTAAAGGATTTGGGTAGATTAAGGACATTCTTTGGAAACTGCTGAAGGATAATCTGTAAGCGTATTAGCAACTCTTTAAAAAAAGATAACTAGAGGTTCGCATTTGTTGAGTTACAAATGCAGTGTTCGGGCTTGCATCTATTTATGTCATAAAACTTTGCCACAATAGTCAACTGAAAATTCATTTTAAACGTTTTTCCACCTGCTGCTGGAGGATGCTCTAACATTTTATGACGTCACTGGTAATTTTTTTTGTAAAATACAACCTAGCCAGAGATTAACATCGTTGACAGCAAGTTCTTGTCTTTTTCCACTTTTGTATTTAAGGCACTTCCAGTTTGTGTACACACCGAAACAGCTCTTTCTTCTCCCTTCTTTTTGTCGCCACAGAATCAGTACAAAAAGGGAAACTGAATACTGATTTAGTTCGGAGAGGATACATGTTTTTTTTTATGAAGTTTAAATACCGTATGAAAATGTAAAAATATAAGTGTATAATAACACCTGACTTCCGGTTTGATGACGTCACAGCATTTAAGATACAAAGGTCAACATTAAAACGGATATCATTAGTTGGGCTACGAACAAAGTCGTAAGACAGGGATCAAATGATAGAATTTAAAAAAAAATTATCTTTTTCAAATTCTCCCTTCAGTAACTTTCGGTCTGATGACGTCATAATTTTAAAACCTTTAAAGTTATATGTAGTTGATAAAAAAATTACAAGGGGCAATTGAGTTATTTGGACGGATGGTTTTTAAAAAAATAAAAAAGAAACCCTATTTGATGTACCGCTAGAGGGCAATCTTTCAGATGATGACGTCATAATGCTGTTTTTTTTTAATCCTTTATTCCTTTCTAATCACTTCCATAATTTATTTGCTTATAGAAAAAAAGCTTCTGCTTTTGAGTTATATTCAATTCTTATTGCACTCACAGTAACACACAAAAAACGAACATGATGCTCTAAGATATATATATATAGCTGAAACTATTTTCTCAAATTTGGCCCTTAATTGCTTGTAATTTGATAGCTGATGATGTAATGATGACGTCAGATTTTTTTTTAACATCTTCGGACGGGTTCACGTTCATACCAGGTTTTGTCATAATCCCGTAAATTGTTTGGAAGAAATTTCTGTCTGTATTTTGAATTCACCTATATTTGACCCAGAAGTAAAAAGATCAAGCAAGTTCACATACATGACAAAAAAATGTTTATTAATTAATGGTCTTTGTGGTTACAACGTATGAACATGGTAGATTATTTTTTTCGAGAGTTATAAGTGAAAGACGTTGTCATTTTCAACAAAAATTGTTTGTAATTTGACACCCGATGACATCATCATGACCTCAGAGTAATACGCGCCACTCGGGATGAGGGTCAATATATGTTCAAAGTTACAAGTTCACACCATAAACCATTTAGGAGAAATCCGGGAGAAGTATTTTCCAGAAAAAAAAGAAAGAAAGAAAGAAGATTTATCAGAACAATTCTAAACAGAGTTTGGGTTGTGCCCGACCACTCAATAATGTGAAGGAAAAAAAAACTTGCTCTGACAGTAAAAAACAATTATGACAATTGTACTGGTAAAAATATCCATCTCTGCACAGAATTCGGTCAGAACCAGCTGGGTTACGGTGGTATTTCTATACTATTCTGTAATACAGTTTGATGATCGTCGGATTTGAATAGCGCCCCCATTGAAAGTATGGTATGAGCCCCTCCCCCCACCCCACCCCACCTATTGATTTTACAGGAATCTGATTCCTTTTCTGGCCACTCTTCTGGCACCACTCACCGGTGCATTGGCAACATCACCTGCAAAACATGTCATACATCTCATCTCTTGCAGGGTTTGTGGAGTACAGTATTTTGGGGAGACTAAGAATATGCTGAACTAGATTTAATTATGTTTGTGTACAAACATACGGATGTTTCGGTTATTTTGTTATTGTATGATTATATGTCATGTAAGACTGATATGACGTGCGGTAGAGTGATCAGGACAAATACAGTTCTATAGATATTTGCCTTCAAAATATACACATTTAATATGCCGTCACATGCCACTTAATAACGTCATCGTGAGCTCACTTCGATTTTCATTTTGTAACACATCCCGATCTACATGTAGGTTCATTATCAACTTTCAACCCAATCAGACATGTTGTCCTGTAGATACATGTATAGGC